GCACCCCCCAGAGCAGCATCCTCCAGTCTCCCTTCCCTGCCCCACAGATCCAGCGTCCCTGACCCTGAGCCCCGAAGGATGGAGAGAGCCAGTAACGTGGGGGCAGATGCTGCCATGGTGTGACTGACCGGGGGTGGGGGCTGGAGCAGGCTGGGGGGGGCGGGGGGCCTATGTGCGGATCTGGTGTGCGTGCGTGGCATGGCCCGGGCGCGGCGCTCCTCAGGCCGGCACGGTGCTGGCGCAGGACCGCTTCAGGCAGGGGTACAGCAGCAAGACGGCTGCAGCTACTGCAAAGAGGATGACGGGCTTCAGCCCCCCGGCCGGGACCTGTGTGGGGGAGACGGGGAGGAGGGGAGGTCAGTGCTGTGCCCTGCAGCCCTCCCCCGCCTCCAGGGAGCCCAGGCTGCTCAGCGGCTGTGGGGTGGGGGCCAAGCTGGGAGGCACCTGGAGCCTGGGGGGGCGGGTTGTGCTGGAGCCCCCGTTCCCCAAGACCCAGCTGCAGGAGCTGACCCCGGCCAGCAGGGAGCGGTGGAGTTCACCAGCCGCCCTGCAGAGCTACTGGCTAGCTGCTAACAGCTGGGGGGGGGGGCAGCCTTCCCCAGGGGAGCACAGAGTGATGGGATCCCTGGCGCTCCCCCTCTCTGGGGGGACCCTGGGATCAGCCCCAGTGGGCCCCCATCTCCCCCGTCTTGTTTCCCACGGCCCCATTGATGGGGCGCCCGCCCCTCCCCTAGCCTAGCCCGCTGGTTCCCAACCCTTGGGGCCAAACACTGTCCCACGAGCCTTGGCGGCCACAAAGGATTGTGGGATTTGAGTGCTGGGAAGAAACCATGGGCGGCGGGGGGATGCTGTGAGGGGGTGGGGGGATGGTGAGGGGTCTGAGGCATGCGGGGGGCTGGCTGCTTAGCAAGGGGACTCATGCTGCGCTCCCCTCCCTGCAATGGACACTCAGGGGGCTTTGCCCGGGGATCCCAAAGCCTCTCCCCAGGGCAGGGGCCTGGTGCTGCAGTCCATCTAATCTGCTCTGGCCGACCCCCAGTGCTGAGGGCCTCACACTGCATTACATCACAGTGCCCCCTGCTGGCCACCCGGGGCGCAGGCACTGCCACTGGGCTCGGAGGGGCAGGAAGGGCCTGGAGTGGCAGCAGGGGAAGGGAGTTGGTTGCCCCAGTACCACGCACCCCTACACCGGGGCAGTGCCCGGGGGGGCACCTATTGCCCTCAGCAGTGGGGACGAGGGGCCATGTCTTGAGCGTTATCTGAGCAGCTCCTTCCCCCAGGGCGTGCCCTTCCCCAGCCCTGTCTCCGGCTGGCAGCCCTGGGGCCAAGCGGGCCGGGGCGAGGGACTCTGCCTGGAGCAAGCGCCTGGGGAGATGGAGAGCAGAGGGGGTGGATGAGGGGAGAGGCGAGGGGGCAGGTGCTGGGAGCTGCCTGCCATGCACGGGGAGAGCCAAGCAGGGGCCTGGGCCAGGCCGAGGGAAGGGGAGATACCAGTACCTGATCGGCATTAGGAAGAGGTCTCGGCCCACCAGCACCAGAGCAGAGCCACTATAACAACCAGTCCTATGAGGGGGAGGGAGATCACGGGGGCGTCGGGGGCGGGGCGGCTCTATGGGGGGAGAGCGGGGAATGGAATGGGGCGGCAGCCACAGGCCGGGTGGGGGGTGGATGGAGATGAGAAGGGAGAGAAAAGAGAGATTAAATCGCAGGCTGCTCGGCCTCTTTTCGGGGTCTCCCTAGTCCTGCCCCAGCGGGCTGTGGGGAGCCAGGCCACTTGGGGCTGAGCCATGGGAGGGGACGTGGGTCAGGCTGGGCCGCGGGCGGGGGCTCCCTGGCGGGGTGTCCTAGGCCCCGTCTGCACCAGGACCTGCCCAGCGCGTCTGGACGAGCCCCAGCTCCAGCGGCTACTGACCAGCCCCGGGCTCAAACCGCCGCCGTCTGGGTCCAGGCAGCTCCTGTGCCCGGCTGGTGCCTCCCCCCAGCACTGGGCACTGCTTCCTGCACGCCGCTGGCTGCGACCCCCATCTCGCCCTGCTCAGGTCCCCCACTGGCTCCCTGGAGCAGCGCCCCCCTCTGCCTCAGCCAAGAACGGGATCTGTGGGCACCCAGGAGGCGGCAGCTTGGCACAGCCGTCGCCCACAAGCCCGATCCCTCGCGGGAGCGTGGCACAGTCAGCACCCATGGGGCACCCCCCACGGCAGCGTGGCACCGTCACTACCCACGCCTGTCGTCGACAACGCCCCTGCCCGTGGCCGTGCGGCACCCCTGGGGCACACCTACCCGCCCGTCAGCGGGCACGATGCCTTTGAGTCTCTGGATTTCCGCCCGGCACAGCTTCAGCTCCTCCTGCAGCTGCTGGCGCTCCTGCTGGATGGCCTGGTACTGCCGCTGCAGCTCCCGCAGCTCGGTCTGCATGTTGTCACACTGCAGGGGCAGGGAGAGGGGCATGAGCGGCTGCCCGGCCAGCGAGGCCAAGGCCCGGGGGAGCCCCTGGGAGACACTCCCCGCTGCCCCGCAGCGCCCCGCCCGGGCAGGGCCAGGAGGGGGCGGTACCTTGCTCTGGGCCAGATGCACCTTCTCCTCCTCACTCTGCAGCTGGAAGTGCAGGCTCAGCTCGGAGTCGGACTCCTCGGCCTGGCTCGGGGGGTCCTTCTTGCAGCTCGGGCTGCTGATGGTTCTTATGTCGTCCACCGTCTTGAAGGAGACGCTGCCGCTCAGGCGGGGGCTGGCGCGCCGGGGAGAGAGGGTCCGGCGCACCGGGGTATGGATCACGTCCGACTCCGTCGACTTGCGAGACTCTTCCGACCTGCTCCTGGATCTGCCAAGAGAGCCCGCGGCCCCGGGCAGAGACTGCAGAGCTGCTCCTGGCCTGCCTGGCCCCCATTGGGGGGAGGCGCCTGGCCCAGCCCGGCCCAGCGCAGTCCTGACCACCCCAGTTCAGCACTAACCAGTCCAGCCCTGCACAGCCCCGCCTGGCCCAGCCCAGCCAGGGGCCTGCCCACCTGCTCACAGATCCCCTGAGGATTCTGGTTCAAGCCCCAGCTGCCATGGGGAACAGGAGGCAGGTCCTGAGCCCAGCCGCCCATGGGGTCTGAAGCTGGGCCCCCCGGCCTGCCCCGCCCTGTTGCCCCTTCCAGCCCCGTTACCTGTACTTCTGGGCTTCCAGGTTCTCCAGCTGGTGCACCATGATCTTGTTGCTCTCTTGCAGGGTCTGGTACTCCTCCATCAGGTCCCGGTACTGCTCCCGCAGGGCCAGCAGCTCCTCTGGAAACACACAGGCTGCAATGGGACGCAGCCCCCACCTCACAGGAGACCCCTGCCCCCAGGAGACCTTCACCCCCACAGTGCCCCCATTGCCCCCACTTCACAGGAGACCCCTCCCCCCAGGAGACCTTCACCCCCACAGTGCCGCCATTGCCCCCACCTCACAGGAGACCCCTCCCCCCAGGAGACCTTCACCCCCACAGTGCCCCCAATGACCACGACCTCCACAGCTCCCTGCGGCTGCTTTCCATGTGCCCATTCCATTCCGATGGCACCAGCCCACGGCGTCCGGGGCTGCGTCTGGCTCGGCCCTGGGACTGGGGGTTCCTACCCACCCCGACCCCTGCCGCACAGCGCCCCCTAGTGCTGTGCTGGAGCATTGGGGTCAGCATTGACTGTGAGGGCAGAGCGCCCCCTGGTGAAGCCCTGCCCAGTGCCCTACAGCACAGCGCCCTGGGACAGAGTGGGAATGTTCTTAATGTTTTGTATGAAAACAGCGTGCCTCGGTTTCCCCTGTGTGTTGCACAAATATCTAGGGCTAGGAGGTGGGACAAGGGGGTGTGGTTGTTGCAGAGACCCCTAGAAGGCAGGTGTGACATGGCCGGGGCCCATCCTCTGCAGGAGCAGCCGGAGGTGTTAGAGAACAGAGAGGTGGAGCCCAGGTGACCTGTTGGCCCGGGAAAGAGACAGAGGAACAAAGGAGGAGCAATAGGGCGTGACTGAGGCTGGGTTGGTGGAAACTGGTCAGTCTCCGGGTTTGGGACTCAGGGAGAGCCCAGGCCTCTGGATCCGCCCCCAAGATGGACTTTGCTGTAACTTCCTGCTTTCTGTGCTAACAAGCTCTGTTCTACGCTGTGCTCCCAACCACTAATAAACCTCCTGTGTCCCACGCTGGCTGGATGTCACTGCTGGCTGCGGAGGGGTGGGGGTGCAGGGCCCCTGTCGGGGCGGGGGAGGCTGCCCCAGGCGTCCCAGCCCAGTGGACTCACTGTGGGGAGCGTGGGACAGGGGGGCTGAATGCTCCGAGGTCAGACCCAGGAGGCGCTGTAGCCAAGGGGGCTTGCCCTGGTGAGCGCGCGCCCTGAGGGGTGTCACACTGCCCCATGGTCCTGTCGGGGCCCCCCGAGAGCAGTGCCAGAGCCCCGAGCCTGGGCACCCATGACAGGCCCCTAGCGCCACGCTAGGGCATTGGGACCAGCACTGACTGCCAGGGGAGAGCGCCCCCTGCTGAGCCCCCCACAACTCCCTGCAGCACAGCGCCCCCTAGTGCCACGCTGGCGCATCAGGACCAGCACTGACTGCCAGGGGAGAGCGCCCCCTGCTGAGCCCACCCCACAGCGAAGCGAGGATCCCAGCGGCGATACCTTGGAGCATAGCCACCTCGTCAGCGCGGCCCTCGGCCCGGGCCTGGCCGCTGCCCTTCATCGTGATCTCGGCGCGCAGGGTGGTGATCTCCGTCTCGTACTCCTCACGGACCTGCTGGACGCGCTGCAGCTCGGCTTGCAGCCGGCACAGCTGCTCCTGCAGGGCGGCGATCTCGTTCTCGTGGATGGCCGCCACCTCCTCCGCCTCCAGCTGCAGGCCGTGGATCTCTTCGTTGGCCTCCTGCAGCTCCCGCTCCACCTGCTCCAGCTCCGACGCCTTCGTCTCCTGCAGGGAGCTGAACTCATCCTTCAGCGTGCGCATCTGAGCTGCACGGGGCGGGGCGGGGAGGGGGGTGAGAGCCTGGCGCCAGAGCACCATTCCTGCCCCTTCACCCTGGCCAGGGGACCGCGGCGAGGGGCGCGTTCCAGAGCCCGAATGATCCCAGAGCACCTGCCAGCCTGCATGCACTAGGATCACTTCACCCACCGCTGAAATGCAGCCACCTCTGGGGTGGGACGAGCAGTTTGGGACAGGAAGTGAGATATAACCCCATAGCCAATTGAATCTCTGGGCAGTGGATCCAGGGAGGCAGGATGAAAAAAAGGGGAATGACGTGCACCTCCCAGGCTCCACAGAACAGCCAGGCCCCCCAAGAGACACCCCTCACCTGAGGGTGCCTGCCTCCACCTGCTTTGCCTCCCAGCCCATCTGCTGGCTGCCACAGGGCCTCCTGCTAACCTGTGCCAGCTCCACCTCCGGGCTAGCTCCTGGTCCAGCCCCAGGAACCGAATCCCTGGCCAACCCACCTGCCCCCTGCCGGGGCCTGCTCTGACCACCAGGCCAGAAACGGACAAGCAGGGAGGAGTGATGCCTTGGGAGCACACATGTGGGGAGGGATCCAGCAGTAAGTGAAGTGGGTGAAATGAGGAGCACAAGCTGGGGGGGGGGACCCCTGGGGACAGTGGGGGTGGGGAGGCAGTGGGGGAGCCCCTGGGGCAGCTGCAGGGGCGGGATGGATATGGGCCGGGCAGGCTGTGGAGGCAAAGTGCTGGGGGTGTGGAGCAGGGGGGGACCCATGGCGTGATAGTGGTGAGGGAACCATGGGGCACGTGTTTGGGAGTGGCGGGAGGGTGTGTGTAGGGGGGAAGAGAGCCGTGGCGGGTGCTGGGGGTGACGGTTTGGGGGGAGGGGGAAGTTGGGAGGGGCGACCCCTGGCAGGTGCAGGGTGGATCTCCTGGGAGCAGGGGTGACTGGGGGAGGTTGGGGTGGGGCTGGGTGGGGGCAGGGAGTACCCCCTGGAAGGTTGACCTTGGGGTTAGGGTCC